CACAAGAAAAGATTTTTAAAACATCCTGAGCGGACAGATGCAGGCCCTGGCACCAGGGCCTCCCGCACTGCCGGGGCAGCTCATCAGGCGCGCCCCTAAATGTCTCCGATGTGCCCCGAATGTCTCCTTCCAAGCGGACCATCCTCCCGGACTTGGTTCCCGGTTGCACCTCTGTCCGCCGTGCTCTTTCTTCCCAGAGGAGGACGGGGCCTGTCTGTGTGATTCGTGCCTCAGGCTGAGACAGGTTGGGGTGTCCCTCGTGAGCTGATTGTGAGAGGGTCATCCTGGCCGCCAACCTCTTCATCCCCAGCTCAGGAAACCGAGGCAGCGTGTGTTCGAGGCTGCCAGGAAGCTAGCGGCCGAACAGGATGGAGCTCAGCCTCGGGTCCGAATGGGCTCACGCCCGAATGAATGGAACCAGCTGGCTTCCGGGCTTACCCGCAGGGGTATCTGGGCCCCGTAGACACCGGCTTTGCTGGGGCCCAGCAGCATTAGCCCCTGCGGCTGGGGAATTAATTAGCAGGCCTCATGGCCAACCCCTGCATCTGTTCCTCATCCCTCCCCAGCCCTCCCTGGCCCAGCCCTGCCATCACCCACCCCCTTCTCAGAAGCCTCACCCAAGCCCCAGCCTCCAGCCTCGCACTGGGGCCCGTGGGGGTTTGCTGGGATAGCTGCCAGGTCCCAGCCTCCAGTGAGGGACAGCCAGAGCCCAGATGTGCCCGGACTGCCAGTGTTCAACCCACAAGCCTCACTGTGGGGGAGCAGTTCCCCACGTCCATCTGCCAGGTTGGGAATCGGGGTTCAGAGCCTGGAGGTCACACGATGGAGAAACAACCCCAACACCAGAGCCGGCCGCCCTGGAAGCCCACGCGCGGCTCACACGGCACCCCCTGCCTGCCCTGACTGAGCCAGACGCAAAGGCTGAAACCCGGGGCCCAGCGGCCTCAGCCCCCGGTGGGAGAACACATCAAGGCCTCAGAGGCTACCTGGCCTCTTAGAACCTCCGGGAAGGGCGAGAAGCAGGAGAGGAAGGAAGTCTAGTTTTCCAGCCCCGCGGTTTCTCCCACAGAGGAGGCACTGCTGCACCCCTCAAAACAGCGCCCACACTGCAGACTGCTCTCTGCCCACTCCTGTCACCTCCTAGTGAGCTGATGAAGTTTGCAAAGCCCTCCTCTGCAGCCACAAGACCCTGGGCTCAAGTCTCCCACCACCACATGTGGCTTAGGGAAGCTGTGTGGCTTAGGGAAGGTGTCCCAACGTCTCTGAAATCCAATTACACCTGTCTTACGTGTGGAAAAAGGTGTTGAGTCTCCCCTCTGTGGCTGGGCACTCGGCCACAGTCCTCTGAGGAGAGAGTTTGAAGCACAAAGCTTTTTTTTTTTTTTTTGAGATGGAGTCTTGCCCTGTGGCCCAGGCTGGAGTGCGGTACCGTGATCTCGTCTCACCGCAACCTCCGCCTCCCGGGTTCAAGCAATTCTCCCACCTCAGCCTCCTGAGTAGCTGGGACTACATACGCACACCACCACGCCCGGATAATTTTTATATTTTCAGTAGAGACAGGGTTTCCCCATGTTGGCCAGGTGGGTCTCGAACTCCTGACCTCAGGTGATCCACCCATCCCGGCTTCCCAGGGTGCTGGGATTACAGGCATGAGCCACCGTGCCCGGTCAGAGCACAAAGCTTTCAACTGAGGCCCAAATACAAAAACAGAATGCTGTGTGGGCCGGGAGAGGGTGAGGTCAACTTCCTGGGGACGCAGGTGGAAGTCCGAAGAGAAGAGCCCAGAATAAGCCTGTTCCCCACAACCATCCCCACCCCTCAGCCACTCTGACCTGCTTGGAAAAGACTGGCAGGAACCCCGCTGCCCATCTCTAGAGGGTCCGCTGGAGGAGTACAGGACCTCAAGCCAACTACAAAGCCACTTTTAATCTTATCAATGAAATTTTTTTTTAATTTTTATTTTTGAGACAGAGTCGTGCTCTGTCGCCCAGGCTGCAGTGCAGTGGCACGATCTTGGCTCACTGCAACCGCCACCTCCCAGGTTCAAGCAATTCTGCCTCAGCCTCCTGAGTAGCTGGGATTACAGGCGCACGCCACCACTCCCAGCTAATTTTTGTATTTTTTAGTAGAGACAGGGTTTCAACATGGTCTCGATCTCTTGACCTCGTGATCCACCCTCCTCGGCCTCCCAAAGTGCTGGAATTACAGGCGTGAGGCACCGCGCCCGGCCTCGTATTTATTTTTAAGAGACAGGGTCTCAGCTGCATGTGGTGGCTCATGCCTGTCATCCCAGCACTTTGGGAGGCTGAGGTGGGCGGATCACCTAAGGTCAGGATTTTGAGACCAGCCTGACCAACATGGAGAAACCCCGTCTCTACTAAAAATACAAAAAATTAGCTGGGCATGGTGGCGCGCACCTGTAGTCCCAGCTACTCGGGAGGCTGAGGCAGGAGAATCGCTTGAACCCGGGAGACGGAGGGTGCGGTGAGCTGACTGTACCACTGCGCTCCAGCCTGGGTGACAAGAGTGAGACCTCGTCTCAAAAAAAAAAAAAAAAGACAGGGTCTCGCTCTGCGGCCCAGGCTGGAGAGCTATGGTATGAGTGCAGCTCACTGCAGCCTTGACCTCCTGGGCGCAAGGAATCCTCCCACCTCGACTTCCCAAAGTGCTGGGATGGCAGGCCCGTGCCGCTGCGCCTGGCTGGCTTTCTATATCTTGTTTTTTTTTGAGACGTAGTTTCGCTCTTGTCACCCAGGCTGGAGTGCAATGGCGCGATCTCAGCTCACCGCTGTGAAAAACACTTTAGAAGGCAGTCAGGGAAATTGGACACTGACTGGATATTTGAGAATATTAGGGAATCACTGTCAATTTTCTTAAAAAATTCTAATGGGATTGTTGGCTGTGTTTGCTTGGTTCAGTTTTGTTTCTTGTGTTTTGGAGACAGAGTCTCCCTCTGTGCAGTGGCGCGATCTCGGCTCACTGCAATCTCCACCTCCCGGATTCAAGCGATTCCCCTGCCTCAACCTCCCGAGTAGCTGGGACAACAGGCACGCGCCACCACGCCCAGCTATTATCTATATTTTTAGTAAAGACAGGGTTTCATCATGGGCCAGGCTTGTCTCAAATTCCTGAGCTCAGGCCATCTGCCCACCTCAGCCTCCCAAAGTGCTGGGATTACCAGTGTGAGCCCCCGTGCCCAGCCGAGAGGGTGTTGTTAATGGTAAACGGAAAAACTTCATTCTGAACCTAGAACTTACTCTGGGGGTAGCTTGTTTGTGGGAACAGTTCTCGAAGCTCCTGGCTTCTGTACCTAGAATCCTCTCACGTAGCCACACAAATCCACTTTTTTTTTTTTTTTTGAGACGGAGTTTCGCTCTTGTCACCCAGGCTGGAGTGCAATGGCGCGATCTCGGCTCACTGCAACCTCCGCCTCCTGGGTTCAGGCAATTCTCCTGCCTCAGCCTCCCGAGTAGCTGGGATTACAGGCACACACCACCATGCCCAGCTAATTTTTGTATTTTTAGTAGAGACGGAGTTTCACCATGTTGACCAGGATGGTCTCGATCTCTTGACCTCGTGATCCACCCGCCGCCTCGGCCTCCCAAAGTGCTGGGATTACAGGTGTCAGCCACCGCGCCCGGCCCAATAACAGCTCATCTTTCATGGTAGCTGTGTTGTAAATAAGGCAGTCGTGTGTGTGTGTGTGTGTGTGCATTTGAGACAGAGTCTTGCTCTGTTGCCCAGGCTGGAGTGCAGTGGCACAATTTCAGCTCACTGCAACCTCCGCCTCCCAGACTCAAGTGATTCTCCTGCCTCAGCCTCCCAAGCAGCTAGGACTATGGGCCTGGCTAATTTTTGTATTTTCATCAGGTTGGCCAGGCTGGTCTCAAACTCCTGATGTCAACCAATCCACCTGCCTCGGCCTCCCAAAGTGCTGGGATTACAGGTATGAGCCACGGCACCCGGCCCACGTGCATATATGTTTTTACACACAGGATCTTACTCCGTCATCCAGAATGGAACACAGTGGTGAGATCCTGGCTCACTGCAATCTCGACCCTCCCACTTCAGCCTCCCAAATAGCCAGGGCTACAGGCACGCACCACCACACCTGGCTAATTTCTTTTTTTTTTTTTTTAGAAAAGGGGGTCTCGCTGTGTTGCCCAGGCTGGTTTTGAACTCCTGGGGTCAAACAATCCTCCTGCCTCTGCCTTTCAAAGTGCTGGGATTCCAGGTGTGAGCCACCGTGCCTGGCTGCTGTCCCCTCTCTGTCCTTGGTCAGTGTCTCCCCACCCCCGTCCTGAGTGGGAGCCTCCTGAGGGCAGGGACCACGCCTGAGCCTGGCATGGCTCTTTTGCCTTCTGCAGGATGAGGGAGGGGGGTTTGATGTCTGCTGGAGCACCCCACACCCAGCTTCTCAGCCACTGGGTGACCTTGGGATGTCCGTCAAGTCTCTGGGCCCAGCAGCCCTAGTGAGATGCATCTCCCTCAGTTCCTCCTGGAGAGGTGCCCCTGGGGGCAGGGGGAGCGTGGGAGGGATACAGGCTTTGAGCCTTCCAGGCCGTGGGGCGGGAAGCACCTGGTTGCTAAGGTTACGACCACCTATGATGAGAAGTTGCCATGGAGACTCACCACCTGGGCGGAGAGGGCGGCTGCAGATGGGGAAGCCATGGGAGAGGCTGGGGCCAGGGAGGCAGCAGCCCGAGGAGGGCGTCCTTCTGGGGAGGGGCGCAGTGGGGCTGAGGGGTCCCTGTCCTGTGCTCTCCTGCCTGGGAAAATGGCAGGAGCTCTTCCGTGGCAGGAATCAATTCTAAATTACAAGCCCTCCTCTGGCCCACGCTCTCCAGCAGGAGGTATGGGACCAGGTGCGGGTGGGAGTGTCAGTCTTGCCCCAGGGAGGGAGACTTCGGGGGCAGGTGGCCTGGGAGCCTCGGGTGTGGTCCCAGACAAGCAGCCTCCCTCTGTAACTGGGGATAGAGTCCTTGGCTGCTGAGGCAAACGTGAAGAGCTGTGGAAGCCCTGGGTTCCAGATGCCTGAGGTCACACCCCAGCTTCAGCAGGCAGACCCTGTGTGACCTAAGGCCAGTGGCCTAACCTCTCTGAGCCCCCCAAATTCCCATCTGTAAAGTGTGAATAATAATGAACCCAGGCCAGGCACAGTAGCTCACACCTATAATCCCAGCACTTCAGGAGGCTGAGGGTCAGGGGAAATTGCCCCGCGCACCCCTCCCGGGCGATCGCTCCTTGCCAGGCCCCCCACGCTCCCCCTGGAAACTTTGGGGGCGAACTCCCCACGGTGGGTTCCCCCACAGCTCCAAGGAGTGGGGAACCAGGTGTGCATCTCCCCCGGCGGTGGGGACCCCCTGGGAGGAGGATCACTTGAGGCCGGGAGTTTGAGACTGTGGTGAGCTGTGATTGTGCCACTGCAGTCCAGCCTGGGCAAAATAGCAAGACCCTGTTGATTAAAAATTAATCTGGGCCAGGCACGGTGGCTCAAGCCTGTGATCCCAGCACTTTGGGAGGCCGAGGTGGGCGATCACCTGAGGTCAAGAGATCGAGACCATCCTGGTCAACATGGTGAAACCCCGTCTCTACTAAAAATACAAAAATTAGCTGGGCATGGTGGTGCGTGCCTGTAATCCCAGCTACTCGGGAGGCTGAGGCAGGAGAATTGCCTGAACCCAGGAGGCGGAGGTTGCAGTGAGCTGAGATCGCGCCATTGCACTCCAGCCTGGATGACAGAGCGAGACTGTCTTTAAAAATAATAATAATAATAATAATAATAAAGCCGGGAGCGGTGGCTCATGCCTGTAATCCCAGCACTTTCGCAGGCCAAAATGAGGGGATCAAGAGGTCAGGAGTTCAAGACCAGCCTGGCCAAGATGCTGAAACCCCATCTCTACTAAAAATACAAAAATTAGCCAGGCGTGGTGGTGCGCCCCTGTAATCCCAGCTACTTGGGAGGCTGAGGCAGGAGAATCGCTTAAACCCGGGAGGCGGAGGTTGCGGTGAGCCGAGATTGTACCACTGCACTCCAGCCTGGGTGACAGAGCAAGACTCCATCTCAAAAAAAAAGGGGGGTCCCAGGTGCAGCGGCTCACACCTGTAATCCCAGCACTATGGGAAGCCCAGGTGGGTGGATCACTTGAGGTCAGGAGCTTGAGACCAGCCTGGCCAACAGGGTGAGACCCCGACTCTAAAAAAAAGAAAAAAAAAATTGAGGAGAACGAGCCAGTGGTTTCTGGCAGCAGAAACATTTCCAGGGAAACCAGGATCATGGAGCCGCCTCCCCACTCAGACCCCGGAAACACCTGCTCTGGGAACAAAAGCCACCACTGTCAGTGCTGAAGGGTCATCCGTCTGTTCAACCAAAATGTCTTGGACACCTCTTCTATGCTGGGTACTGGAGACAGGTAAGAAGGGAGGGTGGAGCGTGGGCTACATCAGCAAAAACACAGGACATCTTAGCAGGCCTGTGTCACACACGCCGGGAGAGAGGGACAGATGGAGGAGGGGAGGGTGGTGGTGGAGGCCCTAGTGAAGAGGAGGGGAGGGGCGGGCGGGCAGAGGTCTGAGGGGAAGCCCTGAGGTGGGAGCCTGGCCCAGTATCCACCCCCAAGGTCCCTGGAGCAGTGGCCACAAGCCAGACAGAACCACTGCAGAGTCTCTGCAGCCCTGGAGGAAGATGGGAACTGTTCTGACCCCCATTTTGCAGAAGTGGAAACTGAGGCTGGTGGGACCTCCCCCACGGTCACACAGGCAAGCCCCAGAATGGAACCCAGCTGACATCCCTCACCCGCCAGCAATCATAGCAAGCGCCCCCTCCTCTGGGAAGCCTCCCTGGCTTCTGGCATAGGTCCAGGGCCAGGTGTGGCTACTGCCCCTTCCACAAAGCTTTGTGATCTGCTCCCCCTGTCCGCAGAAATCCCCCTTGAGCCTGCCAGCGCCTCCTCTTACAGCTCTTGACCTGGTATACAGCAGGTGCTCAATGAACGCCTTCCTCCAAGAACCCTGAGAGGCAGCTATCAGGAGCTTCACTTTACAGAGGGAGAAACAGGATCAGAGAGAGAAAGAGACCCCCCCCCCGCCGGGGTCAGGCAGCAGCAGCCCAGGGCCCGCTAGCTGGCGGGGAGAGGGTGGGGGGGGTCACAAAATCCTTCCAGATAGCTCCGGGGCCAGGAAGTGACCCGTACCCGCCCCCCCTCCTGCAGCATCCCGTGGGGGGCCTGGCCTGCAGCCTCCGGGGACTCGGTTTCTGGGCCTCCAGCCAACGAGACAGTCTGGGAACACAGCCTGCTTGAGTCACAGGTGGCTGCGCGGATGGCAGGCCACCACCAAAGCCACTGGGAGTACACAGCAGGCGGGAGGACGGCGGGTGGGCGGAGGGGGTGGACAGGGCAAGGTTACACGCACGGGCTCCGGAGGCCTCCTTCCAGCCCCTCACTCGGGACAAATGGCATCTCCCAGCCTCGGTTTCCTCGTCTGTGAGATGGGCAGGCTAAATTTAGCCTTCAGAAGGCGCAGCAAGCGGCCCGGGCACCGCGTGGCTCATGCCTGTGATCCCAGCATTTTGGGAGGCCGGGGCGGGTGGATCACCTGAGGTCAGGAGTTCAAGACCAGCCTGGCCAACTTGGCGAAACCCCGTCTCCACTAAAAATACAAAAATTAGCTGGGCGTGGTGGCGCGTGCCTGTAATCCCAGCTACTCGGGAGGCTGAGGCAGGAGAATCGCTTGAACCCGGGAGGCGGAGGTTGCTGGGAGCCGAGATGGTGCCCCTGTAATTAAGCCTGGGCGACAGAGCAAGATTCCACCTCAAAAAAAACAACAACAACCCAGCAGAGGTGGAGAGCAGACAGGACCCTTGCGGCAATAGGGAGCCATGGCAGGCTCGGGAGCCCAGTGGCCAAGCTTCCTCTGAGGCCACATAAGCAACGGGCCTGGAGGGCTGGGCTGGGGATGGGGGGGGGGCAGAGGAGGCGATGGCAGCTTCCAGAAGGTTCTACACGGAGCAACCTGCTGCACTTGGGGCGCCCCTTCCTTTCTCGCACGGCGCACCCAGGCCGTGGGGACGGGGGACCTCGGACTCGAGGCGCGCGAGGTGCGCACCGAGGGGTCACGCACCCGCCCTCCCGGCGCCCCCCGCACCTGCGCCCACGTGGCCTCGCACACCTGCGGCCCCAGTCGCCGCGCACGCGGCCCCGCGCAGCCCCCGCGCGCTCCCGCCAGGCGCGCGGACGAGACGGGCGGGCGGGCACGCGCGCGGCGGCGGCGCGCACGGCGGAGCCCGGGAGGAGGCGGCGGCGGCTGCTGGTGTCGGCTCCGGGCGGCCCCCGCGCCGCAGCCCGCGCCGTGTCCGCGGCGGAGCCGCCCAGGTGAGTGGCTGCGCCGGGGCCCGGCGGGGGGAGCGCCCACAGGCCTGGGGACCCCGCGCCCCGCGCCCAGAGCCCCCAGCCCGCGACCCCGTCCTGGGTCGGGGGAAACTGCCCCGCGCACCCCTCTCGGGCGATCGCTCCTTGCCAGGCCCCCCACGCTCCCCCTGGAAACTTTGGGGGCGAACTCCCCACCCTGGGGTCCCCCGCGGCTCCAAGGAGCGGGGAACCGGGTGTGCATCTCCCCCGGCAGTGGGGACGCCTGGGAGGAGGATGCGCTCCGCTCCAGGAGGAGATGAAGGGGGGACCGGCTGGGTCTGGGGTGTGGGGAACGGTCCGGATGGAGCCCGCAGCCGGCGCCTTCCTGCCCTGTGTCCCCGCAGCCGGGTCTGGTCCAGCCTGGGGGTGCGAAGCAGGAAGACGCACAGGGTGTCTGGGGTCCTCACCGGAGCCTGCCCCATCCCTGGAGCTGACGGCCCGGCCTGGCGGGGAGGGATCTGGGGGTACAGGGCTGAGTCCCCTGCTCTGGGGCCTGCGTCTCAACAGCACCAGGGATGGCAGGGGCTTCTCTCTGACCGCCCGGGCCTCTGGGGCCTGGCCAGGGGAGGCCCTGAGCCCCATTCAACAAGTTTGGGGGAGCAGCACCTTGCGTCTTGGTCCGGGCTCAAGAAAAGCCCCGGGTCCCTGCGCCGGAGACCCCCTCATAACCGGGTTTCTCAGCATGTGCTTCGGGCACTAACGGTGCTGGTACCCTGCACCCCCAACCCGGTTCTGAGGAGTCAGAACTTCTGAGGCGATGGGCCCCAGAACCTGCGTGGCGAACGCATGGACGCACAGTGGGGCTGCAGCACCTCTCCCTCCGGCGGGGGTGGGGAGCGGGCCTCTGGTGTGTTCGCAGAGGGACGATCTGGGGCTTGGCTGGGGGGGAATCTTGGGGAAGACAGAGCTGTGAGCACCAGAGCAGCCCAGGAGGGCTCCCTGGAAGTGGTGTGGAGAGGATGGAAAAGGTGTGATGTGTGAGTGGCCAGGTGGAGGATGCAGGCTGAAACAGGTTCGGAGAGGCTGGTGCTGGGTGGGCTTTGGGGCATCTTACCCCGGCTCTTCTCTGAGCCAAGGCAGCAGCCATCATCGGAGACAGGGTCCCGGTGGGAAGAGCCCACGGGCTTCCCCTGTCGGCCCAGCTCCTATGTCCACCGGGATCATGTGGGGTGGCAGGAAGGGGTCAGCTGGGCAGCGGGACGGGGGCTTAGGAGGCATCAGCTCAGCTTCCCCGCCCTGACTGGTCTCCACTGGTGACTTCCAGCAAATAACGTCCCCTCGCTCAGATTCACCCCACACGGCATTAAATGAGATGCTGCCCACCTCCACTCCGGCTCAGGGCGCCGCCATTAAACAGATGCTCAGGTCACGACGGTCACGGCAGCAGCCTTGCCCAGCCCCCCTCAGCCTCTGTGCTCTCCTCTGACCGGTGGGGGAGGCCACTGCCGTCCACCCCCAGGGTAAGCGGGACCTGCAGGTCCCTCGCTGAGTGGGAACAGAAGGCAGTTTGATGTCTCTTCCCACAGCGCTGTCATTCCCGGGCGCCCGAGTCACCAGGTAGAGCGCCTCTTGAAGAACTCTGAGAGCAATGTTTGCCCCAGGTGGGCCTCCCTGGAGCCGCCCACCACCTCCTGTCAATCCCGGGCCTCCTAAGAGCACCCTCCACCCTCTAGGAGGGTGCTGGGATTTTGTGGATAGAAGCTGGTCAGATTCAGGTTCCAGCTAAGTGATGCGGTGATCTGGGGCCCACTGTGACCCTCAGTCTCCTTCTCTCCAAAATGAACTTTACTATTTTCCCTCTCAGGGCTGGGCTAGTGGGTGAAGTGGCCGGTGTAGACCATGGATGCTCCAAAACTGGTCCCAGATCTAGAGGTCCCTCCTGCAGAGGGCAGTCCGTGGCCGGCGTTCTGGCTGTGAAGGAAAGTGGGTCGGGAGGCCCCCAGCCCCTCGAGGGGATGACAGGGACTAACAGCAGATGGAAGCTAATTAGGGCTTAATGAGTTGTCATGGATGAAGCCCCGGGGGGGGCCTGGATCTAGGACAGAGGATGCAGGGGTCCTGGGGGACCAGCAGCGTGCCCCCAAAAGCAGACCTTGCAGGGCAGCGTGCTGTGAGGGGCTGGACCCCTCCTCCCATATCTGTCTTAGGAGCTCGAATGGGGGTCGGTTCCAGACCACGCTCCCCTTACTCCCGCCGCCCCAGTTGTGGTGGGGGGCAGAGGGAGGGAGGATGGAGGTCACTGTGGGCCGGGGTACAGAGGGGGCCACTACCGCGCCTCTCACCCGTGCCCGCTCTGGGTTCGGCCAGCCTCCAGGAGGGCCTTTCCCGGGAGACTTCCGCACCCCTGTCCCGGGTTCGGACTGGAGGGAGGATGGGTTGGAGATAACCTTGCAAGAGGGCGGAGGGGAACAGCCCTGCGAAGAATAGAGGGGGTGGCTTGGCTGGGAGCCGAGAAGGGGAGCTGCCCACCAGGCACCTATCGGGCAGGGCCGCCCCTATTCCAGGGAGGGACCCCACCACTCCCAGCCACACTCTGCCTCCTCCTTGGGCAAAGAGCTTCCTGGACAATTAGTCCAGGATCTAAGGACAGCTGGGGACACAGGAAAGAGGGGTCTCCCTTCCCCAGTTCCTGCCGTGGGGGACAGTTTTCGGGAGGGGGTGCCCAAGGCCGGTGCCTGCACTGAGGTTAATGGAGATCGCAGACCCCAAGGAGAGGCCCGTGTTCCCCGCCTTCCCCACCCCAGAAGGCAGGTGCACCACCCCGGGAGGCCTCGGGAGACCTTCCTCTTCAAGACTGCAGTGACCCGGTATGAGTCCAAAATGGGCCTCACTGGCATAAAACCAGGGCATGAGGCCGGGCACGGTGGCTCACACCTGTAATCCCAGTTCTTTGGGAGGCCGAAGCGGGCAGATCACGAGGTCAGGAGTTCAAGACCAGCCTGACCCCACATGGTGAAACCCCGTCTCTACTAAAAAAAAAAAAAAAAAAAAAATACAAAAACTAGGTGGGCATGGTGGCTCTCGCCTGTAATCCGAGCACTTTGGGAAGCCAAGGCGGGAGGATCACCTGCGGTCAGGAGTTTGAGACCAGCCTGGCCAACCTGGCAAAATCCCATATGTACTAAAAATACAAAAACTTAGCTAGACGTGGTGGCTCATGCCTGTAATTCCAGCTACTCAGGCTGGGGCAGGAGAATCGCCTGAAACCAGGAGGCGGAAGTGGCAGTGAGCTGAGATCTTGCCACTGCACTCCAGCCTGGGTGACAGAGCCAGACTCTGTCTCAAAAAAATTAAATAAAATAAAAATAAAAACAGGACATGGGCAAGGCTGGGCCTTCCTGGGAGCTCCAGGTGAAAATCTGGTTCCCATCTTCCCCGGCGTCCAGAGGCACCTTGTCCCTTGGCTCGGGCCCCTTCCCTTCCCAGCCTGAGCGCGGCCTCTGACTTTCACCCCCCACCCCCACCTCCCCTCAAGAGGACCCCGTGAGGATGTCAGGCTCGGGATGATCCGGGATGAGCTCCGGATCTCACAGTTCTTACTTAATCCCATCTGCAGAGGCCGTTTTTCCATGTAAGGTGGCTTTATCTGCAGTTCCGGGGATTAGAACGGGCTGGCTGTGGGGAGGCCTTTACTCTGCCAGCCCCAGGCCCCCCTTCCCTGTTTATTTCCCCCCATACCGTGGCCCGCCCTGTGACAGACAGCTGCACTTGCCTCTTCTCTCTCTCACCCGTAGACAGAACGCAGGGATTTGTCTGTTTTGCTCAGTGCAGTTTCTCTTCAAACCAGCGCCTGGCACACAGGCATCGCTTTTAGGTGCTTAGTGAATGAATGAATGAATGAATGAATGCTTGTTGGATGAACGAATGAATGAGGTGAAGACATAGCCAGGAGCAGACCAGGGCCTGGGACTCGGGGTTCCTGACCCCTGCCGGCACCCAGTGGAGACTTCGCTGGAAGGAACCTCCTCGGCCAACTTCTCACTGGCGCAGCCCGGGAGGTGACTGGGAGCCCACGGATCCCTTTTGCAGAAGAGGAAACTGAGGCTCAGAGACTTCAATGTCTCTGCCCAAGGCGGTCGGCGGCCGATTCAGGTGGGGACCCATGTGTTCTAGTCCTGGCTCCGGAGTGGACATTGATTCGGTGCCTGGTGTTCAGTTCAGCCTCCCCGGGCTCGGCCATTGGCCGCAGCTCTGCGTGTCGGTGACGGGGCGGAGAGGGAGGTAATAGCACCCTGCTCTCTGGAGACAGAGGTGCAGCCCAGAGCCAAGACTTTCCAAGGCCTGGGAGAGGGAGGGTGACAGGGTCAGACCACGCAGAGCTGGACGCGCCTTCTAACTGTAACCCAGATCTGGCCATGCTCTCGCTCAGTATCCTCCCATGGCTCCCTATTGCCCATGGACGCATGTTGGGACACCTCCCTCTCGGTTCAGTGCCCCGTGTGGTTTGGTCGTTGCCAGCCTGGGCCCCTGCCCTACAAAGCTCAGACACACCTCCGCCATCATCGCCCCTCGCCTTGCTGTACCCTGCTGACCCCGGCTCCCCACCCCCGCCTCAGCTCAGACAGGGCCTTCCTGGGCCGTTCAAACAGCCACAGCGTGGAACAGACGCCCACAGCTCCCTGCTCACTCCCCTCCTCAGTGCTGTTTTCAGAGGATCTGCCCATTCACTGGGCTGCGTGATTCTCGCCCGTGTGTCCCTCCGACTTGGCGCTCAGAGAGAGACGCCCGCCGTCCCCGGAGGCCACAGACATCCGATTGCATTGATTGGAAATGGCCAGGACAGGCCAACCCGCAGAGGCGGGAGGCGGATGCATGGGGGACCCGGCTGGGGAGGGGGTGGCAGTGACTGCTGATGGGGACCGGGCTTCCTTTTGGGGGTGATGGAATGTTCTGGAAGTAGAGGTGCCGGTGGACAGTCTGGGAATGTGCTGGAAGGCGTTGAATGGAATAGCTGTAATAGGCTGCGGGTGTCTCCGTGGAAGCCGCCACGCCGCCGCCAGCACCCACGCAGCCCCCGGCACATGCTGAGGCTTAGGAGGAGGACCGGCGCCCTGGGGTGCGATGGCAGGGCAGGGGCCAGCACACCGACCACCCCCACCTGTTCAGGACAGACCCCCGACCCCCCACTCCCGTCCACCTCCACCAACGCCGTCCCTGCCACCGGCCCGGCCCCCCTGCCAAAGGCCTCGGCGGCTGGTCGTGCATGGCAATGAGGCTCTGTCCTTGAAACACGCGTCCTCCCTCCTCAGGGGTCGACGCCACGCTCACCCAGACCCCCAAGGCCAGGCAGCAGAGCTCACCGAGACGACCTCCAGGGCAGGGCGTCCTCTGGGGCAGACGAGCAGTCCCGGGCCTGGTGTGACGTGCCCATAGGCAGGGAGGGGAGACAGGGAGGCTCTCGGTCGCCGGCCCCAGCTCCAGCTTCATGCCTGTGGACGGCGGGGCGCTGAGCCGAGGAGGTGACGTCACCCGAGGACACAGCTGTTCTCACCTCTGTGGCGTTCAGTAGCAGCTGATGTGCCGTACGCTGATTTCACGGCGTCACCTGCACCAGAATGTAAGCTCCTTAAGGACAGGGGGCCGGGCGTGGCGGCTCACGCCTGTAATCCCAGCACTTTGGGAGGCCGAGGCAGGCGGATCACCTGAGGTCAGGAGTTCGAGACCAGCCTAGCCCACATGGCAAAACCCCGTCTCTACTAAAAATCAAAAAATTAGCCGGGCGTGGTGGCGCATGGCCTGTAACCCCAGCTACTCGGGAGGCTGAGGCAGAATTGCTTGAACCCGGGAGTGGGAGGCTACAGTGAGCCGAGATCATCGTGCCACTGCACTCCGGCCTGTGTGACAGAGCGAGACTCTGTCTCAAAACATAAATAAATAGGCCAGGAGTGGTGGCTCACAGCTGTAATCCCAGCACTTTGGGGGGCTGAGGCGGGCGGATCACTAGAGGTCGGGCGTTCAAGACCAGCCTGACCAATATGGTGAAACCCCGTCTCTACTAAAAATCAAAACATTAGCTGGGCACGGTGGCGCCTGCCTGTGATCCCAGCTACTCGGGAGGCTGAGGCAGGAGAATTTCTTGAACCCAGGAGGCGGAGGTTGCGGTGAGCTGAGATCGCGCCATTGCACTCCAGCCTGGGTAACAAGAGCGAGACTCCATCTCAGTGAATAAATAAATGAAGAAGGACAGGGACTTTCTGGACTTGGACTGTCTTCTCTGATGTATTTCTAGTTCATGGAAGAGCACCTGGCACGTTTTCTTCTCTCTTCTCTTCCCTTTTCCTTTTTTTTTTTTTTTTTTGAGAAGGAGTTTCACTCTTGTCACCCAGGCTGGAGTGCAATGGCGCCATCTCGGCTCACCGCAACTTCCACCTCCTGGGTTCAGGCAATTCTCCCGCCTCAGCCTCCTGAGCAGCTGGGATTACAGGCACCCCACCACCACACCCGGCTAATTTTGTATTTTTAATAGAGATGGGGTTTTGCCATGTTGGCCATGCGCCTGCCTCGGCCTCCCAAAGTGCTGGGATTACAGGCACGCACCACCATGCCCAACTAATTTTTTGTATTTTTAGTAGAGATGGGGTTTCACCATGTTGACCAGGCTGGTCTCGAACTCCTGACGTCAGGTGATCCTCCCACCTCCACCTCCCAAAGTGCTGGGATCACAGTCTTGAGCCGCCTCGCTCCGCCCAGGGTGTGGACGTCAATGCGTGCAGCCTCCTGGGACCTCAGCAGAGCACAGAATCATGGTGGAGTCTGTGGAATCTCCTAACCCAGGAGGGCATCTGAGCCAGGGTGATTCTGCTCCCAGGGGACATTTGGTAAATGTCTGGGGACATCTTTGGATGTCTCGACAGGGGGTGCCCTGGCATGGAGTGGGTGGAGGCCAGGGCCACTGCTCAGCACCCCAAAGTGCCCAGGATGGCCCCACTCCAGAGAACGACCTGGCCCCAACGTTCACAGAGCCCAGGAGACGTGGGTTTGCAGGGGCTGGCCCGATCCTCCCCCCACTGCAGTTCCATTCTGCATGGAGGGCACTGAGGCTGGAACAGGAGGAGCGAGGTGAATGCCGGGGGCAAGCTAGAGGGGTGTTTGGGGTGGGCAACGTGGGCTTGGCAGTGGCAGGAGGCACAGATCCAGGGAGGACTCCGGCCTGTGGGAGAGGAAGGGTGGAGCTGGGGTCACTCTGTCGCCCAGGCTGGAGCACAGTGGTACAATCTCTGCTCACTGCAACCTCCGCTTCCCGGGTTCAAGTGATTCTCCTGCCTCAGCGTCCCGAGGAGCTGGGATCACAGGCACGCGCCACCATGCCCGGCTAATTTTTGTATTTTTAATAGAGATGGGGTTTCACCATGTTGGCCAGGCTGGTCTCGAACTCCTGACCTCAGATGATCCGCCCACCTCGGCCTCCCAAAGTGCTGGGATCACAGGTGTGAGCCGCCACTCCCGGCCTTAATACATTTTATATATTAGCCAGGCCTGGTGTTGTTCCAGTTTCCCGGGAGGCTGAGGCAGGAGGATCACTCGAGCCTAGTAAGTCGAGGCTGCGGTGACCTGTGATTGAAGGTCGCTGCACTCCAGCCTGGGCAACAGAGCGAGACCCTGTCTCACACAAACAAAAAAAAGCAATGGGGGGTCCTGGCCTTGTAACCCCATCCTACCTACGGCCCACGGCTCCAGGGTAAGAAACTGCTCAGGGCACCCAGCCCCTTCCTCACCCAAGAGCAGCAGGAGTTGAGGGGGTTCTCTGACATCTTGAAGACCCCCACAGCCCTCCCCCCAAGAGACACCCTGCTGGAAGAGACCAGAGAGGCCAGTGAGATTCATTCAGGGCGCCCAGTGAGGAGATGGGGGTCCTACAGAGAGAATCGAATTTCCCACCATCCCCTCTCCAGGAACCAGTTCTTCCTCCCAAGTTGGGAGGCACCAGACCCTCAGGGGACATGTCAGAAGCCTCAGTCCAGCTTCCAGATCGCCCTCCCGCCTCCCCGCAGCACCCTGCGGAGGAAGTGATGGGGCCTGACTGTTGTGGGGGGAGGTGGGGTTGAAAAACTAGGTCACAGCTTGAGTGGCCCCTGCTGGGCGAGAGGGATCAGCTGTCCTCTCATCCCAGGAGTAATTATAGAGCCAGAGCTCTCAGGGCGCCCCGCAGGGCTCTTGTGCCCGCGCCGTGACAGCCGAGGTCCAGAGAGGGTAGGTTTCTCCTCGGAGGTCACACAGCGCATCCGGACTGAGGCCTCCCGCTGGCACCTCTGCCACTGGATCAGTGTGGCTGTGACCGAGCCATTCCAGACCTATCATCTCTCCAGGAGACTTCCTGATTTTGCCCTTATCTGTGCTGTGTGCGAAGCGCTTTTAAAAAAATTCTTGGCCGGACGCAGCGGCTCACACCTGTAATCCCAGCACTTTGGGAGGCCGAGGCAGCCGGATCACCTGAGGTCAGGAGTTCAAGACCAGCCTGACCAATATGGTAACAGCCCATCTCTACTAAATACACAAAAAATTAGCCGGACGTGCTGGTGGGCGCCTGTAATCCCAGCTCCTCGGGAGGCTGAGGCAGGAGAATCACTTGAACCCGGGAGGCGGAGGCTGCAGTGAGCTGAGCTCGCACCACTGCACTCCAGCCTGGGCAAAAAGAGCGAAACTCCATCTCAAAAAAAAAAAGAATTGGCATGGTAGCCCATGCCTATATTCCGAGTGCTTTGGGAGGCCAAGGCACATGAATTGCTTGAACCCAAGAGTTCAAGACCAGCCTGGGCAAGAGAGTGAGACCCTATCTCCACCAAAAAGAAAGAAAGAAAAAATTCACCAGATGTGCTAGTGCACACCTGTAATCCCAGCAGTTTGGGAGGCTGAAGTGAGAGGATCACTTGAGCTGGGGAGCTGGAGGCTGCAGTGAGCCAAGATCACACCGCTACACTCCAGCCTGGACAACAGAGCAAGACCCTGTCTATAAATAAATATTTCCAACTTAAAAAGAAACCTCTAATTTAGAAAATGGGGCCGAGGCACGGTGGCTCACGCCTGTAATCCCAGCACTTTGGGAGGCCGAGGCAGGCGGATCACTTGAGCTCAGGAGTTTGAGACCAGCCTGG